AAACGGAGGAAGTAGGGATGGATTACTCACACCCTAAGGAAGTCACCATCCAGCATCACAAGCCAGGCCCTGACTTGGAATCCGCAGGGCATGAGAAAGAGGGGACGTCCAAGAAACATCTGCATGGAGGCGTGACTCGGGGGCAGAATTTTTCTCCTCTCCCATTAGATTTGGCACTGTGACCAGTATGAAATTTACAGGTGAAAGACCTGCCAGTGAAGAACCTGGGTTGGTGTCTTCGGCGCCGAAGATCTTTAAGGAGGGAAATGTGGCGGTCAGACGGGTTCGATTGCCGGTGGTCAGATAGCTCAGTTGGTAGAGCACTGGAGATTCAGGAGGCTCGGGTTCGATTAAGGAGGGAGAAATATAATGGTTTTGGCCTTGGATATCAACCTTGGCAGATCAGTCGGTAGAGCACGTGACTAGTGATGCAGGGGTCCCGGGTCCAATTCCCGGCCCTGCAATACATTTTCTCCTTTAATTTTCTGTCACAGATTCCGTGCCGTTGACTACTCCTGGACTTGCAGGTGAAAGTCCTGTCAGAGACAAATAAGGGTTTGTCTTAGAGGGTTGTATTTTTTCCCCATTCCTATTACACATGTATCATTGAGTCAAATGCTGACTGACGTTTTTAATACTTATTGTTAGGCCATTATTTACACACTGAATTGTCGACGGATTTTTCCGTTATATCCCGATCATGACAAGGAGCAGACGGTGGGTGTGACCGGTCGGCAGGGGATGCTCACTCCTCCATGGCACCTGATCCCACCTCTAATGTTTTGGAGGTCCGTGTTTGCTCTGCACCTATTTTGTAATATTTTATGGACTTTTGAGCTTGAATATTGTTCGTTATCCTCATATATTTCATGTATAAGAATAATACAAAAATATACATGTAATCCTGAGAATTATTACTATGGAACAGATATTTTAACTTTCAATCTCCAAATATAGATAGCGATAAAAAAGAATACATATAAATCCAGAATTCCGGTATCTTGGCATATCATGGATACTAATGTACACCGACCCATCCTAGACACGATTTTCTGATTAAGAAGATTTCTCTCTATAATATTTTTTGTTTTCTTCACTAGTTGTCTATCTTCAAGAGACTGTCTTTCTCTAACCCCCCTCCCGGCTCTCTCTCTCTCTCTGCCTGTGTGTGTCTGTCGGTCCTTCTCTGTTCAATACCAAATAAATATTTTTCTAATCAATATTTTGACGACAATTTTGATAATTAAAATTAGATATCCAACATGTATTCGCCCCCACCCCCTTCAAATTACAGCGTAAACATTTCTCAATTCACCAGTACATTAATTTGATTTTCAAGATATCATGTCACAGAAACAAAATATTTCAGATGTTTTGAGACTTTTTATTACATTTCAAGATGTAGTCTTCAGGTCGATCCTCTTGTATCAAACAGGGTCTTAATCCATTTTATATACAGTCAACGTTTCAGAAAACAAGAGAAATAATGTCTTGTTTCTTGTTTTAAAACATACAAAACTGAATAAAACCGTATTGACAGAAGAGCATTGTTAATGTTATATTATGAAACTCGAGATTTACATTCCATTCGAAAGCAGACAGACCTCATCATATTACTAAATAAACAATAGGTAGTCATTATTTAACTAAATCTTTATGCGCCCTCGATTTCCAAGGCCTAAAAAAGGTTTAAAATGTTAAGAATCCATTTCAATGATCGTGCGAATTTTTCTCAGGAGTTCTCGATCGTTCGTTTTAAGCTTTAAAAAAAATTGTAAAACTCATGGCTAGTCTCCAGCATACAGGTTCGAGGGTGGGGGTAAGTTGGTCATTAAAACTACATTACACCTTTGAAAATATTGTTCATTAAACAGGTCAAGGAAACTGGAATATTCTGACGTCAGAATAAATTTACATATTACATAGTAATTAAATGAGGTACCAACCTGACTTACACACTGACCAATAGGCTAAATGAGTTGAATTGCATTATGGGTCACTAAAATTTTTTTTGAGATTGTATGCTAGTTTTTGTACTAGTTTTGGGAAGTCTATTATGATTATTTCATGCATTTCACAGATTTACAAAAAAAAAAAAAAAAAAAAAAAAAAAAAAAAAAAAAAAAAAGGTTATAAATGTAGAATTCTAGTTTTCTCTATTCAATTGTCAAAAGCGTCTTGTGCAATTGTCTGTATTCCTTTGTCATAGTATCAGTGAATATAAATTTCACATGGATTCCCTGGTCCAAGATTGTAGTCATTTAGATAGCCACGCGTATTACTATGCATTGAATGTTTCTAATTTTAAATGCTTGAATTGTGGCGGTTTTGCGAGTGGATTTCAATCTATTATTAAAAAAAAATCGTAGCTTGGAATATCTGTACTAGTACCCAATTTTTACATTAAGAAAAAAAAAAACAACAATAAAATTGAGTTTCAAATTTCCTTTCCTCATTTCAATAAATATTACCTCGTAGATTTACCCGAACTACGTGTTTGTACATGTAGTAAAATGTAAACATGTAGTAGACCATCATGTTCTTCTATTCATTTATTGGATTGGACAACTGTTCACAGAAAGCTTTGTCATGTGCCATAAAAGGTAGATTCCTTGACCTGTTAAAGGACATCTAGTAGGTGAACAGGTAATTTTTGTTTGCTCAAATTACGTTAGCTGCATATCCTGGATCAATCCCAGCTTCGAATATGCAGATTTTCCAATATTTGATGTGATTTTGTTTATAATTTTTATCCGTAGCCTAAATGAAAGATTGACAAGAGTTTCGAGAGTTGATTCCTTGCTGAACTACTATCAATGTACAGATGATATCAAATACCACATAACGAGATGACTATACTTTCATACTGTAGTTGTTTAAAACTTATCACATCAATATATAAATTAAATTCCTAGTTCTAATACTAGTAATTAACTTCTATCTGAGCTTGCTTGCATTAAAAAAAAAAAAAAAAAAAAAAAAAAATGAAAAAAAACGGTCACCTGAGTATAACACAACAATTCAGAGGATCCATAGAGTATAAAATGAACTGAAAGGTGAAGCTTTGTTGCCCAAAAGAAGAAAAATAGGGTGATCAGGATCAACAAAATAATTAGTCTAGCATGCATTAACAGTTCCTAAATTAGGTTCTTATCAGTTTCCCATTTATCACTCTAACTATACAGTACATTAACAAACTATCAGTATTTCTCTTCTATTTTAATTCCTTGTTATTTTTGTCTCACTTTTATTTATCTATTACTTACAAGTCTACCTGATCATTAAAACTATGAAAGTAATTTTTGTATTATACAATAAAAATTCTTGCATAATTCTCTTATTCTATTAACCTTTCAAGTACATTATTTACATTGATTATTTATCAAAAGTAAATGGCAAAGGGGAATAACTCCTCTCAGTAGAATACAATTTAATAGAGCCATGGCCAGGACCAGAGCCCTTGACCAAATGGTCCAGATGTTCAAAAATCTGGTAAAAATACCCTTCCTTATTAAAACTTTTACTCTTTTTGCCTCTGATATGCCCAGGTGCAGAGAAGATTTTTAAAGAAATAATGCATTTTATGCATTTTTACTACAAATTCACTATATTATCAATAGAGCTCATCATAACTATATACTTAGCTTCTTTGCTTTTAAGCCAGAAGAAGAAAAGAATATTTTCAAAGAAATTTTGCTTTATCACTATATAATCAATAGAGCCCCCCCCCCTTTCCATCAGAACCCCTGACCCTGGAGCCATGAAATTCACAATTTTGGAAGAGGCATCCTTGTGTATCATAACAATGTACTTAGTTTGTTTCAATAATACCCAGGAGTAGAGGGGAAGATTTTCAAAGAAAGAATGCACTTTCACTATATGATCTATATAGCCCCCCCCCCCCCCCCCCAGCACCCAGAACCCCTGACCCTGGGACCATGAATTTCACAATTTTGGTAGAGTAACTCTTGCTTATCATAACTATGTATTTAATTTGTTTCAATAATACCCAGGAGTAGAGAAGAAGATTTTCAAAGAAATAATGCACTTTCACTATATGATCTATTTAGCCCCGCCCTAATACCAGATACCCTGACCCTGGGGCCATGAATTTCATAATTTTGGTGGAGTCACCGTTGCTTATCATAACTATGTATTCAATTTATTTCAATAATACCCAGGAGTAGAGAAGAAGATTTTCAAAGAAATAATGCACTTTTACTATATGATCTATATACCCCCGCCCTTGCACCAGAACCCCTGACACTGGGGCCATGAATTTCACAATTTTGGTGGAGTCACCTTCGCTTATCATAACTATGTATTCAATTTATTTAAAAATTAACCAGGAGTAGAGAAGAAGATTTCCAAAGAAATAATGCACTTTCACTATATGATCTATATAGCCCCACCCTAGCACCAGAACCCCTGACCCTGGGGCCATGAATTTCACAATTTTGGTAGATGGCTCAATGCTTATTACAATCATGCCAACAGGTTGACTGTTTGATGTCCAGGAGTAAAGAAGATTTTTAAAGATTGCATTAATTTTGGTGGTTTTAGCCCCACCCCTCAGGCCCCAGGGGGGCAGGTACCATGAAAATCAAAAATTTTGTTCCCCTTCACACATAGATGCCATATGCCAAAATTGGCTGAAATTGGTTCAGCGGTTTCAGAGAAGAAGCTGAAAATGTTCAAATGTTAACATACGACAGACAACGCACGACGACGGACGAAAACAGATAGCAATAGGTCACCTGAGTGACTCAGGTGACCTAAAAATAAATAAATAATAAATACCAATTTTGGGGGGTGGGAGGGGAATAAATATTACTATTACTTAACATACATGTACCCCTTGCAAAGACATGAATTCGATTTTTAATGAGCTAAATTGTCAAGCGTTACTTGAAAAGTTAAATCAGATACCTGGTATACATTTTTAGGGATCTTTTTTTCGGCATTTTTATATAACTGGTATTAAAGAACAAAGAGTAAAATATTTTGCACATAAAGCTTTTTAATTATAACACTTTTAAACATTCCTCTGAGTTAATTATAAATGTAAATTCAATTAAATACATTTGCAAAAATGCAAATAACATGAATAATCCCCCATCAAAGCTGAGTAAAATTCTTGTAAGAACTAATACACCCATGGGTTTCACATACATGCATTGCTTAAAAAAAGAAAAAAAAGAATGAATTTCTTTTCTCTCTATATGACCTTTGCAACTTTTTGTTCAATATCAACTTAAACAATTATTACGATGTTAGCCTTGTCAAAAATTATAAATTCAAGTTATCAATAAATTTCCAAATGACTTTGGTTAAGGATTGCAACATGCCCAAATCTTGCAGACAACTTTTCATTCCACGTATCAAAAATTTCCCATCTGCATTAGATACATGTACCATTGTTGACACTAGTAAACGTTTTCAGTGCTTACATCTGATGTCAAAGTAACAGACTAGATTTATAGAGCACTGATTCTTCTTAGACTTTTGACCTTTTACTAATGAGCCTTTTAAAATTTGCTCAAAATGAAACTTTGATTAATTACTGGTATGCAAATTTTTTTTGATTGAGTTTGTAATTGTTTTTTCCATCGCATTGTTTTGAGTAATATATGTTAGAAGGAAATCACAGACAGACAGACATGGGGACTTCCATAAAACACATGGCTGTTCTTTGCATGTGCATAATCAACAGAAATTTAAACAGATCAAACATGATACCAAAAGAATTCCATACTGGGGAATCTTTACATGAGGTGTACAGTGTACCAGTATTTATTTCAATAAATGAAATTCGTTGTAATACAATGTTCCTGAGGAACTGGACAACACGAGATAATCATTGAATAAATAGCTGCATTAATGTTAAACATAATGCATGGGCATACAATAACGGTAATTCAAGCTTATATTTATACATCAGGCATACATGTAAATTAATTAATGCACGGTACGTACTGAGCAGACAAGCAGAATGAAATGTGAAATATGAAGGAAATGTACATTTTTCATGCATATTGCAATAGCCCTTAACTTATCCCATTGCTAAATTTACTAAATCTCACATTTTTAACCTTGACCCAGACAAAAAAAAAGTTGTTTAATTATATGAAATTAAAATTATACTCCTATTTGGGCTGGGAGAAAATATAGGTACAGCCAAACATTCATTGCTTGCCCATAAAGACAATCCATTTTCTATCATATCAGTTAATGTGTTTTAGTAAATTTTCTTATTACATTTTCAAACTACACTGTATGAATACATAAAAACATGGGACTTTTTATACTCAACATATTACTAAATCCTTTAAAAATCAAAATTTTTAACATACTAAATTTATAAATACTACATAACAAATAACTAGCATAAAAATAACAATTGGCCAAATGTCATATGCACCAGGTTTTAAAATATATCACAGCATTAAGTTTACTTATAAACAGGCACTAAGTGAGTGTCTCAATACAACATGTAATTTCTGTAACTGACATGGATATTTAAATAAAACATTTCATTTTTTTTAAATACATGTTTATTCATTAAGTTTATAACATAGGATTCACACATATAATATTTTCTTTGCTTTTAATCTCTTACAAAATTTCTGAATGATAAAAATTAGTTCTGTGTGCATATACTGTACAGAGTCAAAAATATAATCCGTTTCTGTAATATTTGTTGTTTTTTAGTTAAAAGATATTTATTAATTGAAAAAATAAAGACAACATGAATAAGTTGAAGTCTAAAACACATGCAACTTTAACAAATAATAAATATGTAAAAAAAAACACACAATGAGAAGTGGCAGTAGCTTTTGTAGAACACAGCAGAGTAACCTCCCTTTTCCACATCAGCCAAATATGGCTCCAGACTTATGTTTCAGTCCCTGCAGTTTGATTGGTCAGAATCTGGTGACCCTGAAGGTCATCCACAGCAGTTATGATTATTTTGCAGAAAAAGCATTCCTTCTTTCCCATCATCTGATGACTGATGCATGTTCTATAATAAAGGTCAGATAAAAGTTATATATATTTGCCTGACAAATTAAATATTATGTCATGCTCTGATCTTTTAAATGAATGTGTCCATACATAAAATTGGCTCAAGAAATACAGAAACCCCTCGAAAGTTGTACATAACACACATCTTCAATGTCATTGTGATAATTTATAACTTAAGGATAAATTGAAGAAAATGCACTTTACATATACAATTTTTAAAACCTTGACCTTTCCAATATGGCCTCATTCTTACCTGCACGACTTGTGTCCACATGGTTTAAACACTGCGGAGATGGAGTTGGCATAGCATATTGTACACAGATCTTCCTCTTTAATATTCTTTGAAATGAAATAAAAAGCTTCTCAAATACATGTATATTTATGATCTTCATCTGACTGCACTAAAATTTCATTTTAACTTTTGCTGTTTACATTCTAATATCGCAGATCCCTGGATATACATGTACATGAGGAATTAGTTATCCTGTAATTTCTTGAGAAGCTCTACTCGCAAAAATAAAATTACTCGGTTTTATCTTTATGGTGCTGAAATTCATGTATAACCTACTGATCAACCGCCCTCTTATGATTTAATGTTCTCGCAATTTGACATCTAAGAGTCATTTCACGATATTAAGTACACACTAAAATAAGGAATCTCCTGTACACAAGTTTTGTATTTTTAAAATTTGTACTACTGCAATGTTTCTTTTTTCAATCCAACTATTTTCAACTTTACACTATATTTTCAATTTCCATTGTTTATCAAATTACATTTTATTTCCGTATGTTCCCTATGTCCATTACCTCGCATGATTCCTCAAAGCTCTCCTGTTTCTTTTTGATGAAGGTGATTAAATCTCTCACAGCTTTGGTTTCACTTTCACTCATTTCTTCACCTAGAATTATCATAAAATACTTGCCATTATATCAAGTTTACCTCAGTGTTTGTTAACTCTATGATAATACTAACTTATCTTATATCACTTGACCATGCTTATTATTACTTTGCAACATAATTTTGTCAACAATGTGGTAGAAATCTACTTTAAACCTTTTATTTCTACTGAGAGTTTGTTTTCATCATCTGCATGTACAGTGTAAAGTTCCTTTTAAAAATAATATGAAATAGCTGACATGATTTCTATTAAAATTTAACCACTTCAACATTATTTCCTCTCTGCAGGTACGTAAAATTCACCGAGCATTATAAACGTTCTATACATTTTTGTATTTCAAAAAGATTTGCACAAGTATTGCAGAAAACATACATGTTTCAAAATTGAAGATCTTTTCCTTGTCTTTTTTCCCTTTTGGCACAGTGCTGGAGGAAGCTTGAGGGAGGGGGACCCCCAGGGTAAACTCCAGGGTGGAGATCTGGAAGGCAGGATCAGAGAGCAAACAGGATATCACCTTCTTCTGACTGAAAGTGGATAAAACAAGGTCAAAGTTGTAGACAAGAAAACAAGAGACAAATATGTTTTACCCTGACCTTTCTCTTCAGAACAAGATGTACCTACCAATTACATATTTCTTTATAATTTAAACTTCAGTATTCAAACCATGGACCCAGCAAATGGACAGAGACAGCCAACATTTATAGTTCATATCCTTAATTTGTGGTAAAATCATTTATTTCTTTACTTTTAGCACTGAATGAAAAATATAAATTCATTTAATATACATGTAATACAGTATGTATGAACTTTATATGTGTTTGTTGTAAATATATTTTACTTCATGTATATCACTAGGTTTATCAATAAACTGACCTTTTATCACTAGATTTCATCACAAGCTGATTGAGGACACCCACTGTTACAGCCAGTATGGGGTAGTGTGACACTCCCTCCAAACCCTGGATAGAGTGACTAATCACGGTACAAAATACCCCACTCTTACTCGTCACTCGGTTCAACACATGACAAAGAAGCTGTAATTTAATAAAGATTTCCTCAGTGAAGTCTTACTGTATAAACCATCCTCAAACGAAAATGAAATTTTCAAAACTATTTCTAGTATGACGCATTTTCTTTGAAAATATTATCTTTGATTCACTAAATTCAATTAGTTTCTATTCCAATTTCAGTAGCATGAAGTATTGCTTAACTGCAGATTGAACAATTTTGTCTGATATGATCAAACAGTTTTCTGAAGCAAAATTGGTCCATTTACAAACTATGATTCTATCTTCTCTGACCTGTACTAGTCTTCCTAAAAGAAGCTCAGCAGAGTCTCTGGAGAAATCTAACACGGTCTCTGGGGTGACACAGACCACCATTTCCAGGACCCTCATCAGGCAGACAGCAATCTCAAAGCACGTGGCACAGATCTTCAGATTACGAGCCTCCAAAATACGCAACTCAGTCCTCGAAACCCGCTGCTGAATCTAAAATCAGAAGTTAATTTGTATGTCTTTCTTGGACAATAGGCTTAATCACTCATTTTCACAGGGGTTTTATTTTTCATTGTTTTCGTGAATTAAGAGACCCACGAAATGTTAAAATTTCATACTAGAGTACAGGAGTTGTCATTCAACCACGAATTCAAATCCACTTGAAACTAGTAATTTTTCCTTTAAAAAATGAACATTTCACCCCTCCAAAATAAGTGGTTTTACAATAAATGAAACATTTCAATCTATGAAAAACATCTACAATTGTTATATATGTTGATGAAATAAACAGATTTCTGATTTTCATTTGAATTTTGTGAGAAGAGTGACCTTTTTCTTATTAGTGTGTACCTCTTGCATTAGTCCAATAAATTCAGAAAAAGACCAGTTCAACTGATTGATCAATGTATCTAAGAACCGAGTGGCCATTTCTGAATCAGTAAGTAATATCTCTTTGAAGATTTGTTGTAGCACCATAGAAGGACAAGGTTCTGAAATTGAAAATGAAAGGCTCATGGACAAAAATGCTCATCTGAATAAGTTTATGAGATGAACAGTAACGTTCATTTTATCAGATTATGTCTGAAAAACTATTACGGTAATAAGCTGAAATGCAAATGCCAAAGCAACAAGTTTCTGCATTGCCTTCAAAATGTGGAAGATACTGTAATCTTTAAAGGAATTTCAATATTTGGGATTTGGAAAATACACTTAAACTGCATTTTTTTTTTCATTTTACTTACATGCATATGCTAAATAAAGGTACTTACTTTGAAGACTTGCTGAGCCAAACTCAGTTGGCTGGATTTTGGACGGAACAAGATGAGAGAGATGTGTATAACGAAATCCGAATCCACAACCCTATTTATAGATACATATTTGAAAAAGATATTTTCATCCGAAAATTCCATATTTTTACTATGGAGAGTTTGATTAAATAGCATATTGAAGATAATTTAAATATAAGGCTTGACTCAAATTTCAAACTTATATCATGTTATAGAGAAGAAATAATGGAAATTCACAAATCTGTTTTCTATTCCAATCTGATACTGTAACTGTATTATATTTGGCTGTGTATTCTTTTTTTTTAACACCTTTGGCAGAAAAGCAGCTTCCACTAAATTAAGGGTCCTCCACACACCCCCATCTTATGTTCTCATATTACTGAACATTACTTTTAACAAGCATATCAACCTATAAAAAGTGGCCAAGAATTGAAATATAATTTACACTGATTTTTTAAAATTTAATTTCATAAGTTTTAAGATTTTTTCCCCACCGAGTTTTTATAAGAAGCACAATAAATTTTGTGTTCTCCTGGAATATATTATTAAGCCTAGAAAACAACCACAAAAACTTAATTTTATCACTGAGGATATTTTTTTTAAAAATTAATCAAAGTTATAAAAATTAAATATAACTCATTTACTCTAAAATTCATGGAGAAAAAAATTATGGAAGATTCCTGATAGTATAGAAGAAACATTAATGAATTAAATCACAACAAAAAATTGAATCAAAATCAAATTTATTGAATAGGAAAAATTATTTTCAAAATCTGTGGGATCAAAGTTCCGTTTTGAGAGTTAACTTTCCTGTTACCCAGGACTCAAAAACTTTGGTAAGTCTCCGCATACGTCATCATACATGTACTCAGTAATTCGTTATTCACAACTGAACAGGACAGATATAAATAAGCAAAACTAGAAATGCACACTTTATCAATATTTATAAAAACACAGTGAGATAGGTATTATTGAAACGCACAAATCAGTGTACAATAATATCAACTTTTCACAAGAGTCTTGTTGACGATATCGCAATGGATTTATTAGCCTGAAAGTATAATAAACTTAAACGTTTTTGAGTAGATATAAATGTTATTTACGAATTATATATTATGCAACAAAATCTCAAATGTCTGCTGTTTTTTTTATTGAAAAAGATCAACACTTTTTCTTCTTTCGGTCACGGCGTGATCATGCCATGTGTTCATTGTTTATGATCAGGGTGTCGCTCTCGGTTGACTGCATACTCTTCCTTTGACAAAACCTTAATATCTAAAGCGTTTATAAGACTCTCTTACAGGCGGTGCAAGTCAAATCGTCAGTGCACAAACTATATAAAACCGGAAGTAAAAGTATTTTTTCTCGATATACGTCACAAGTCACGGGGTGTGGAGGACCCTTAAGTACATTGCTGATTTGTTTAAAAATCAATTTTCTAAATATTGTAGATGCTAAATACATGTATAATACATTTACAGTACATACAACCACTGACATTAGACAGTACCCAATTCAAACAGAAGAAAAATTTACTTACCTTCCAAATCCGGACAAGAATCCAGTTTGTTTGGGCCCAAGACCGACTCTCATAGGGGGCAATCAAAGACTTCATCATGTTTTCTTTACTGTTAAAAACAGATAAATCACTCAAAGATAAACCTCATCTTCTACCAAATCCATGTCATAAATTATTTTTCTAAATGAAAACATAAAATAAAATTCCAAGTCCTTGATATACCTTTTTGGCATTTGTAATCATTTGGGACAGACACATGGACAAAGGTGGTCTGTTTCATTGTTTTCCATTGCAGTTGATACAAAAGTGTAATCCATGTACATGTAATTATTATATATTCCAAAGAAAAATGTAATTCTATGACAATAAATTTGTCTATGATCAAGTCAATAAAGACCAGAGTAAACTAGACAAAAATTTTAAAAGAATTACACTTACAACTCCTGTGGAAGACTTTCTAAAGCTTTCAGGGACTTTGGGTAACAGATGAAACAGGCTAAAGCTTGTACAATGTTGTCTCTTAAGTCTGTAAAAAAAGAGTCATCATGAACTACTTAGAGTCCTTGATGGAGATGAGTGATCTAGGGCCCACGCCATGCAGGATATGATCTGATATAAATTCCACAAAGAGGTCACCATGACCTACTTTTGAACTGCAATGTAGGTTCCTACCAAGATGAAGGAAATGACACAGGCTGATAGTCTTAGGCCTCACAGTTTTGAAGATGTGATCCAAACACAAGAACAGCTAGCAGATAGATGTACATATAGACAGGAAAGCCCATACTAGTATATGGGACATCAAAAGATAGGTGTATAAAAACAAATTACAGAGGAAGTCAAAGAACCATTATACTCTATATCTGTCTCCCTTCCCCCTCCCCCCAATTAAATAGCTAACAAATTCACCTTTTTTTCTAACTTACAAATTCATAATGATAAGCTAAAGCTTCACAGATACACACCTGTATTGACAATCCTGGCATCAGCAAAATGCTGAACCAAAAACATGGCAAACTTTTCCCTCAATTTGTCATAACCTTGAAAAAAAAATACACCACTCTTGAATAATTTCTGAATACTTTTGAATTCATGAAAAAAGTTTTGAAAGAAACAAAACATCTACTTATTTTCATGTAACTTTTTTTTTTTACAAATTAAAGAAGAAAATACACATATCTTTTCAAATCATGAGCAAACACTATACTTCAGATTTATGTTATAGATTACCCTTTAGGTTCTCGATGTTTACAATAGGATGGAAGTAGCTATGTAGGGCATAGTTGGCTCTGGTCACAGACTCAACATAAAACTCGGGGGTATATTGGAAGAGTTGTCCATAATTGGAAGCCTTCTCCAACGTTCTCAACGTTACACCTAACAACCAGGCTACATCCTGCTGTTTTCTCTACAAAAAGCATTTATTATTACCAACAAGAAGTTTTCAAAACTTAATTTAAAAGATACACTAATACTTACAAGACAAAGTACTTAAACTTACATGCATGTAAATTGAATAAAGTCATGAGAGAATATACTCTGAAACTATAAATAACAAATTGGGGGGGGGGGTACATACATGTAATTGTCATTGTTTTTGTGGCATGAAATATCCCAATGAATTCTAGTCTGTCATCAATTTAAAACTTTCAACCTACAGCAATAACCATGCTATAAAATCCCCACCAACCAATTTCTTTTTTAAATCACGAAATTTGATCTCACAAAAATAAGTAACACTGGATGTTTATAAACTTACAGGAGAATACACTACTGAGATGAGCCAGGCCATCTGTCTGGCCAGCTCCTCGTACTTCTCCTGGAACACGTTTAATGCCCGCTCTAGCTCCACCTTCATGTCCGTTCTGTCCACTGGACAAAGGTCAATCTTCATCTCTGTATCCCGTAAAGAGGTCACAAACTCCTTAAGATTATCCCTGAGAGAACACATCTGTAATGTAGAATAAAATAATCAAAGTAGAAATTCTATGTGTTTCTTTTTGGTGGTGGTGGTGATTGGAAGATGGGGGGGGGGGGGGGGGGGAGATTTGAGAATGTTAATAGGATGAAAATAATTATCTACTGTGCATTTATATATATTCTTAGACTAATAAATGACTGAAATTATGTCTACCAACTTTGGATAACCATAGCACCAAAAAATTGAATAACTTTTATATAATATTACAAATTTATAGAAACATTACTTTGATCAACCAAATCAAAATTTGACCAGAGAGAGAGAGAGAGAAAGAGAGAGCTGTTCTAGCTTCATGATTATAACAGATAAAATCAATTCTTATGTTGCCTATATCTTAGAACACTGAAGATCTATTAAACGTTTTACCTTGGAGATCTGAGCATGAGAGGACAGGTGATACAATAAGACAATGACATCCAGCAGGTCCATCAGAGAGTTCCCACTGGGCATCTCCAAAGGGGGGTAATCTACAAAACACCATTCACGGTGAATAACAAGGGGTGGATCGCCTTTTTTTATTTTAGAAAGGGAATTCATGATTTTTTTTTTTACACAGGATACATGAACATCACATGATCTGCATGGATCAATGATTTTCCTTTCATTTCGGGAGAGACGAACCAAATTAAATTTTAACATGGACGTTACTTTTTCTTACATGATATGGAGATTTGTGGGGGGGGGGGGGGGGGGGGGGTAAGTGTATAAATGTCCTTGACACCAACAACCAACTGGATCATCCTACTTAGTAACTTTATTTGTACACATATTAAATGTTTGTACAGAAATTAGTTCAATGACAATCACTTGAGAAAAATTTCATCTTAAAATTACATTCCTCCTAAGCCTTCCTGTTATAATTTAGAGACCAGGGGGCCCTTATCTCTCACCTGTACTGACATCAGTACTTCTGACAGGTTTTCCATCTTTGTCAATCTGTAAACCCTGGCATTTGTTCACTTCACCTTAAAAAAATAAGTTTCATGATTAGGCAAAGTTTAAAATAATGTTTGTTTGCCCTCTCCTGACTCAGGATGAAAAAAATTGGGTTGATAGGTAGGTGAGAAAATTTTTTTCCCTCAGAAAATTTCAATTTCAATGCTAAATTTGCTAAATTTTAAAAATCTATTTTCCAGAATACATAAAAAAAATAATTGCTTCCTGGGGGTTAAAAAAAATTCTTGAGTCGGGCCATTTTTAGCCAGTCGGTTGGGAGAGGGCAACCAAACAACTTTTTAAAGGTGGCCTTATACAAAAATTTTAAATTATTCCTAAATTGCATAGTAACTATAAACATATGTATCTTGGTAATTCAAAATCTCTAACAAATACTTTATTATGACTGAAAAAAGTCACTCCATTTTTCAGTTTCTTTGCTGTATTACAATGTACAAAAATATTGCCTTTTTTTCTAAACACTTTGGCTTATACCACACCAGAAATATTTCATTCAATACATATTTCTGTCCAACTTTCAGACTATGTACATGTATGTTCCTATCTAACTCTTATTGACAGCCTACCTCCCAGAACCCTGTTGAGATGTGACACCAGTCCCCCACATCTCTGTAAATCACTCAGTTCTCTGGAATCTAACCAAAACTCATGGACAGGCATAAAGGCATCTGGAATCCACAGAAAATACACAGTCAATCCAAACAAACTACTTTATACAGTACAGTGAAATTAATAAAATTTCATAACTCTGAAGTAGCTTTCTGCATTTAGGGGCATGTTAACCTATCTGCAGTGAGTTTGCAAATGAAACACATCAAAGCAAGAAAGTGAAGACTTTTTAAAATTGTTCAGGAAGAATTTTATGCAGATTATTATATTTATATAACACTGGTTACATTATAATTACAAGTTACCCACCTTGGCTTAAAACAAATCTGGACGGATCCTCTTTCTGGAAGTCATCCCAGTAGAAGCGGAGGGCTTGGACGAGACGATGGAAGAAACTCAGAGGACACGTGGTCACTTGTTGAAGCTGTAAAACAGGGGACAGGGAATCTGATTCCTTTATCTTCATATTTATAGCTACATGTAGGTATATGTATACTTAAGCACTCAACTGTGTACACACAATTTACAATTCACTTTGGGTATTAATGTACTTTTGTCATAAAGATGCCACTTGTAATAGGTTCTGCCCTTTTTCTTATCCCTATATTTCTTTACTTATTCTTTTGTAGCAGAAATCTTTTAAAAAAGCACAGATCTTGACTGAATGCATACACTAAGTGTATGTACCTCGAAATTTTTTTTTACAGTTTTATTTTTTCTTCATTGTATTTTCTCTAAGACTTAATTTTTTTATCCTCCTATTAAGCCTATTTAGAATGAAAGCTTATATAATGTTTTATGAGCAATGTTCAAAATAATTGCATGATTTATGCTTTTGCAATGTCAAATTATCAAGAAAAATGTAATAAAATTAATTATCAATTTGTCACCTACCTTTCCAAGTCTATTGTTACTTTTCAGGTAAGTTCTCAGTTTCTCCACAAAGATCATCCGAGACGTCTTTTTCTGTAAAAATATTGTCAGTAATTACTATAATATCAAATACAATACTCTGTAATTTTGAAAATCCATTGCAGCAATGGACAAACTCTCTGTTTATCTTAGTTTTAACCATTATTTTGTAAGATTACAGGCTCTTAGGGGCTTTAAATATTTGCAATGTTCTTGATTTAGGGGAATCTGTTTTCCGCCTAAAGCACTAAATAGAATGCACTGTCAAGTATAGTACCTTTACAGTATATCCATCCTTTCAGCTCATGATCAAGGATTGAAAAAATGTTTAATTTTATGAAGTTTTGCTGATCATCTGGAGATTCATACTTACATCCACTGGGTCTGAATGAGTGAGTAGCACCTTAAGAATATCTATCTGAACATCTTCCAATTCTACAAAACAAAAGCAGGCTAATTTAAAAAAAAAATATCCATAATTTATCCTTGATATCGTATCATGTGGCAATACTTTTTTGTACATGTAGCAAATTAATTCATCCCTACTTCATACAAAGTTACATGTAAATTTGACAATACTTATGAATTATTTAAAACTTGTCAACAACACTGACACAATTGTGAGTTTATAAAAGGAATATACTTGTACCTTCTACTTTTGTCCTGAGATCTTGACAATATTGGTTATATCGACGCTGGAGGTCTCTCTCTGTGTCGTTGGAGGGAGGTAGGGGGTTTTCTTCATCCTTCAATTTATCAAAAGAAGTGTATACAGTAAAACTTGTCTAATTCTTACTCTACTGGTTTCACAGAAATTTGCCAGATTAGACACCATTTTAAACAATTGAATTTACTGAAAGGGACTTAAAGCTTTCATTGTTGCAGGTGTCGTAACAGTGTTTCACTTGAGGTTCACGTCAAATCATGGCTGACACAAAATAATTCCTGAATCTTCCCTTCAGATTCGTGCATTTTATCATGAGACTGGAGCTGAATTTTTTTATGAGATGAAAAACAATATGTAAACTTCCTGTATCGACTAGATTCATTATAATTTAGGGCGTGCTGATTTTTCTATATACTGTATTTGAGTGGGGAGTGATTAGGTCCTGGGCTTGATTTTCAAGCACCTGCTCGACTTTGACCGAAACAAACTTGCGTGCCTTGCTGGATGGCTATGTATTTTTTGGTACTAAAATCTTTATAAAGAATTGTTTTACAAGATCTGAAAAGGAAACTTCTCAAAAGTTTGTTTTCAATTAATACCACCTACTCAAAGTTGTGCATTTTTGGTAAGAATATATAGCAAAATTTAATACTGTTGTGCAACCTTAAGCAAGATTTTGGAATACACAGCATCCAGATTTGACTAGTTTCACAGTAATATACCACATATTCTGCATTTTTCTTCAGTTAAATGTATTGAATTACACCCAAATAATTATACTTTAATAAATACAAGTTTTCCTAGAAATGATTTACAACTATACATGTATAAATAGAGTCCTCAACTACATTTTCTACAGCTTTCCACAATTAACAAATCGACCATGCTACATGATTTCAATTTTGAATTCATCTTTTCTAAGCTGGAATGCCAGACTCCCTGCCTATATTTATAAACTCTTACTAGTCTATCAGATCCAGAGAACCAGTTTATTCACTTTACAAAATACATTTACAAACAAACAATGCTCACTTACATTTTCTAGGGTGGCCCACCAGACAGTGGGGACCAGTTCCTCTAGTCCTGCATCATCTGGGGGCTTCACATGCATTAACACCGGGAACTTGATCCTCTCAAATGTGACCTCAGTTAAGGAATCTCGGATAATGTGACATCAGAATATATTACAGTTGAGCTTCATAATTTCAACCACCAGTATCTCGTATACCAGGAGTACATGTATGTCGAAGTGATTTGGCAGTTCAACATATTTTTCTATTACATTTATAAACTTGTTTCTCAAATCCTTGGATATCTCTAAGTTCAATCTTGGTCCTGCCGAGTTTATTATAACGACGATTGACTGTTAATAATATTACATTTATACACCCCTCACCTAGTACATGTATGTAAAATACATGTGTAATTATCCGGGTAGACATGTTTTCTTGGGAAGATATAAAAGTAATATGATGTCAATCTGTATAGAAAGGATATAGAACATTGAGAAGAAGATATCTTCTGGTTTGTGAGTGCTGCAAAACCCTCAACGTCAAATCTAGGTAGGTTTTCTGAAAGAAAACACAATGTCATATATACATGTACAGGTATTTCAATGAATTCAGTAATCAAACTGTTAATAAAACATGAATTAATTTGAACCCTTTACATTTTTTATAGTTAATTCATACTCATCTGTAAGATTTTATATTAAAACATTTGTGAAATACAATGCCCTTGGTTACAGTCCCTGAAACGTTCTACTTTCCCATTTTTCCGTTTGCTCACAGGTCGTTCAGCGTGCGCTCACCGTTCGTTCACCGTGCCTTCACCGTTCGCTCTCCGTTCACAGTTTTGCGTTCAGCGTTCACCGTGCGCTCGCGTTCACCGTTCACAAAGCGTTCAGCATTCGCTCTTCGTTCGTTCACTCTGCGTTCACCTTGTGTTCAGCGTTCACTTACCGTTCAGTCTTTATTGTCATTCGGAACTCCGAAGTGAAAGGACTTAAGGACATACGCAACGTAGTTTGAACTTTATTGTCTTTTTCAATGGAGTTGAAGAGTTCCAATACTTAAAGGATCTGTGTGCTACATTTTAATGTCTATATATGCTGTTGTACACTTCTTCTAAAACAAGTTTGGATACATAAAACATCTAGAATATATGTTTAGTAATTTTTGTATATTTTTCTTTGAATTATACAAGAATTTTCATCAATTGGTATCTTTTCAAAACCCCTGGTAATGCATGTTGATTTTTTGTCTACGAACTTCTGAAGGCACTATAATCTTAAATTAAGAATATCTTAAAAATTATCAGTAGGTAAGGTACGTTGCGTATGTCCTTAAGTATCTTTTTGTAAGTAAGGAATAACAGGTTTTGAATTTAATAATTAACATATCGTGTTTAGAGAATCATTATTTCATGGGGAAAGAAGTATCTACAATATTTATTTTTATTGTTCTAACTTAGCTGTTAGGTTATTTATTAAGTTTATCTAGAAAATAAATGCTGTTATAAGTACATGTATGTACCTTTGTAGAACGATACTGAAAATTTAAATACGGGCAATATAAAGATAATTCAAGCACTGCAATATTTTGTTGTTAAGTTAAAGACGACAAATCGTTAGTGGATAGATAATAATCGCAGTCAATTAATTTACCACATGCATCAAAAATACGAAAATATTTAGTTCTAACACATTTTTTTCAAATAATACAGAAATACATGTTAGAAGTAGTTCTGAGAATTATAAACAGTACTGCAGATATCCAGTTAATTAAATATCTTTAGAGCGAATTAAATTGATAGTGTGGTTTTAAAAAATATATATTTGTTTAAAATGTAATACATTATAGAATTTTCTACTTTACATATATAAAGTCTTTAATTAGAGAGAGAGAGAAATGCCTTTGTAACATGATTATCATTAATATAACCAAGGTGATTCTCCAGTAATGATATTTTTCACCGTAACTTTATATGTTCGCCATTCGATATGATTAAGAGCCCCCCCCCCCTCCCCTAAATCGGTTACTTAGTTAGTATTTCCAGTATATTTTAATTAACATTTAAAAAGAAGTTAATGCGTTTTGTAGCACAAAATTTTCAGTCTCAAAACAAACATGCATCTAAACAAAGTCATTAAACAACAGTAGTTCAAAATATACATGTGCCAGCGGTGATATTTTACATTGGCAGATAGTATGTTTCAAATTCAAGCGGCTTAATCATTCCAAGTGTTTATTCCCAATTTATTTTATTCATTTATTATTTTTTTTTTTTTTCAGAAATGTCAGATCTAGAAATGATAAGAAAAAATGTTAAAACTTCTTGGAAATACTAACACTTTGCCTTTGGGGTGACGAGACTTTCACACCTGCACAGTGTCGAATGATTTTGATTGACAGGTCAAACATGTGGACTTCGTGTGAACTTGAAGCAGGAAAATAAAAACCGATTATGACTGTAAAACAATGGATTTGTTGATCAAAAATGGTTACTTTCACTGCCTGATATATTTAGAAAAAAATTAAGAATTTTTGTTTGATATAGGTACTAACATTTGAGGAAGGGGGGCTAAAACTCTCTCTCTCTCTCTCTCTCTCTCTCTCATTTGTCTGTTTAATAAAAACCATGACAGCAAATTACTTAAATATCAAGTTCTGAAAATTTAATCTTTAACAAATAATATGAATGCCTCTTTGTATCATCTTGTCCGAGTATGATCACGGTCGGGAAATGTCTACAGATACATGTAGAAGTCTGCTCAATAAATCATCATAAAAAATAAAACTGACACATAAATATATTATTGCATTAAAATTTTAAAATACGAGTGTATTTATGCAATATGTCCACATTACTTTGTAAAATATTCTAATTTTTTTCTCATTATTTTACACGGAATTGCCTTGGCACAGAAATATATGTATGGTTGTTACAACCGTTGTAATTCATTCTGTAAGTCCGTAGTTTTCTCTTCTAAAATCCACATTATTTGCAATGGTTTTATAAATCAAAAAAGAATAAACATATTTATTTTACAACTAGATTAAGTTTACAGCAATAAAAACCGTATTATTAAAAAGTTGAATTTAAACATCGTACATATGTGCAGAAAATATTGTAAGAAACTTAAATTAATGATTTTACTTAATGTGCATTTATCGTCTTTCTTAGGGTAATTTTCATTGATTGGTTTATTTATTTATTATTTATTTATTTTTTAGCACCAGGCATTAGAATACAATAGAATAGTTTCAATGCAAGGAAAAGATCAGAGGCATTCCGAATAAATCATTCATCTTGCGTTCACCGTTCGTTCACCGTTAACTTTGCGCTCCGTTCGCGTTCTGCGTTCGCTCACCGTTCACACATCGTTCACCAAGTTGTGTTCAGCGTTCACACATCGTTCACTCACCGTTCGCTCTGTATTCGTTCAGCGTTTGTTCACCGTTCGTTCAGCGTTCGCTCACCGTTCAAGTGGGAAAGTAGAACGTTTCAGGAACTGTATGAAAAATTCCCTCAGACAGACTGCTATAGGTCTTTCAGTCTATTAGTTAAAATTGACACCTCTGACATTTACATAATTTAAAGAGTTCAAAATTTAAATTCTAAATACACATAAGAGACACAAAAACATACCAAAAGCAAAATAGCCCCTAATCAAAGGTGCATGGAGATAAAAACCCAAGTAAACAAAGTGCTGTCATACTACCATAACCTTGTCAAGTTACACTTTTTCTTCCTGATAAATCCATTCTGCAAACTTTTAATTAACATAGTCCTACCTGTGATGAGAAATCTGAGGTACAAGGAGATGTCTTGTAAAAGTTGTACAGTAAGGAGGTCATCATATTGTCTATACAGGGCTTTATCTCATGGTCCTAAGGAAGGAAATAGAATACATATTAAACCAGGTCATATATATACAGTCCAGTGGGTATTTTTTTCTTGCCCCAATTGGAGTATTTTGCACAAATGTTTAAAATTTCAAATCCATTATATATAACTTGCTTTCATTTAAGAAAGATTCAAATTATTTTAATATTAAATTTACAAAACTTCTGAAGTTTAAACAAAGTTGTGGCATAAAAGCAGAATAAAATTCTTGAGGGCTTTTCAAAAATGGCAATGGATTTCATTCAAACATGTAGTGGATAAAACTAAAACCTGCATCAGAGACCACATGAGATCTAGTAGTTTGATGATTTGAGGGTTCATTCTCGTCCTATCTGAAGTCGTGGCACTAAACTTCAACATCAGAGGCAGTAGACAACATTCCACCACGTATGGGCCTTTCTGAAAAGAATATCATATACATGTAATTCCGAATGCTATATGCTATCTTTGTTTCTTAAAATTATAATTTTTTTTATCAAGTTAATATAGAATTTTCCTGTCCCTTTATTAAAAATAGCAAATCAGATACAAATTTCAGGCCAACACACAAGAAAAATCAAAGTCCAAAATATGCACGTTTACATAAGCATGTACCATAGATTTTACTATATGAACATAATAATTTATAGTAAATCCCTTTAAACTGTTTTTTAAAAGTACATTTGTGTATGCATGCACCATAATTTTTACTGCATGATTATTTATGTTATATCCCTTTAAACTGTGTTAAGTTAAAGATTGAAAAAGATCTGAAAGACCTGATCAAATGATAACTACCAACAATGGTGCCAGTTTCTCAAAGATGTGGGCTGATATAAGAAGGGCTGTAGATTTCTTGCTTCTGTTTTCTCCGAGGGGTAGAGGGGGGATGTTGGATCCATCTTGTACAATTCCACAGACATCTATCAAATGCTGAAACAGATACATGTAATTTACCATTTTGATAATCTACATGATTGTACTTATTCAGGGCAGGAACTTGTGTTTTTCACTGTGTAATCAAAATGCATCAGCCCTGTAAAATCTCACATACAACGTACATATAAAAAATGGTATTTGTAAATAAAATTTGACAATTTTTTTTTTTGCTTTTAGAATCCAATCTCACAAGTATTCAATGCAGCAATCAATCCCCACAATTATATACAATATGATAGGACTGTTGAAAAATTTTCAAGTGTTTGAGTAATTGAAGTAAAAATCAAATGAAAATGGCAACTCACTTGAACATTTCCTGGTGTTCAACATATTGATGTTAGAGATACTATATACATAGTATACACTCTAAATGAAATAACAAGTACTCTAAGCTTAGAGAGAGAAAAATCCTAACAAAATAGCAGAATATTTTGTTTTCCGAAGTTTTCTCATGGTTTTTCTTTTTTAAATTTAAATATTTTCAATTCTTTAATTTTTTTTTACAAACCAAAGAACTATATTTTTTGATTCATTAACAATACCTTATCCTCTTCCACTAAGGTATAAATGAGTTTCTCTTGCCAGCCAATTAGGAGCTGAGCTTTGACAACATCCTCCTGGGGCACAGCTTGTAGTGGCTCGTAACCCTCGATCGGATAGCGAAGGGGTGTGGCTCCAAAGTTAGCTCTTAGGTGTTCGTTTCTGGACAGGCTGACTGCTGGAAAATAGGCATATCCACTTCCTGTCTTTATATTTGTAAAAGCCTCTCCCATTGACTTTCCATTCCTATAAAAATCATACCATCACAATGCAGTTGAATTTCGGCATCTAGAACATCAATATCTTGAACAACATGTTTAGGCTGAAGCGAGTTGAAAGTCCCAATTACTTTCTTTTATGTATTTTAACCATAATATCTTGAATCTTCAGTTTTTTTTTTTCCTGGCCCCTTTGATATAGTCATAATGAGGTTTGACTCTATTTAAAAAATTATTCACCTGTCTTTACAACTGTTCTGATGCAAGAGTTAAAAGAATTCCCCAACTTGTGATACATGAACATGCAACATTATGAAAAAAAATTACTTTTTGACTGCATATACTATACTAATGAAGAATTGACATATTTTCATTATATCACTGTGAAAAACCTTTCAAATACTCCACAGTTTTCCACATGTTATGTTGATTATCTGTAACTAAGTCAACAAACCTGTAAAATGTCATGGTTCTATTGTCACAGTCCAGCGCACATGTGATAACATCTCCAGCCAACCATGCCTGCAATAAAAATTTCCCTAATGTGAATCCAGAATCACTTTATAACTCAGTTAAGCTCTTTGTCACATCAAAATCATCCTAGCATAGTTTTGTTAATTTATTTTTAAATTTTCATGTAAATATCCCATGGGGAACCCCTTTCGTTTTAAATGTGTTATTACTGTACATATCCTTCACTGAGCCTCAATTCACTGGACCTTAAAACCCGCTAGTCCATGCAATTTAGTTTGGACGCGGCAGTCCAGAGAGGAGGACGCCTTTATCTCCTCTTATATCTTTGTTTTTTTACATGTATGTACCCTTGCAATTTATCGAAGTGCTTGCTCTGGTGTGATATTATTTTTAGCAGTGTAATGGTCCAGCTTTTCTGAGGTAAGGCTTATATTTATAATTCTACTTTAGTTATTTCCTATATATTATTAATTTGTCCTAAAACATCCAGTCACCGCATTTCTCATCATTTTTAGCATGTGTGTTTCCTTTAATTTGATTTCTATCTATAGTAACACGTATTTGAAGATTTCAAAGTATGGTGTACAATTTCTGTCATAATAGTTCGTCCGTAAAGTAGCAATTCGCAAAATTGCATTTGTGTAAGAGTTGTATGTACAATTTAAACAACTCATGTGTGTGTAACATGGTGTAATTGAGTTTTATCTAAGACGTGTCCATTATCTATAAATCTGATAATGAGTGTAATGTGTATTTGTGTAAAGCCACTAGAGCTTCTAAGTAAAACTTGTATGTATATGTTGGAGCAGGTTCCATCCATATGTCAGAGTTTTTGTACAACAGTGAGGCCACCCAGTGCCTAAAGTCCGCCCATGGTGTGTAGTAGATAGGCCAGCCAGCCTTGGAACCTAGAGTCCATCCTCCAGCCTGTGAGGTGGAAAAGCCAGCGGCGAGACGGGAAATTACAACAAACAACAACAATGACATTTGTATATAGTATCATCATTCATTAAAGATGTAAATTGTAAAAAAAAAGCATTTGAATTGTATTTTAATTAGCTAAAAGATAATCCGCTCGACAATCTGTGACAGTCTTCATAAGGCTTGATTAAATGTCATTAATCAGGCTCTAATTGGCAACTAATTTAGTCGCCATGGCACCTAAAAATTTTGATTGGTGCCTAAAATTTCTCTATAAGTTGCCAAATAGGCGACCATTTTAAATTGACTAGGCGATTGTCAAATTCTAAAAACTAAAAACATTTTCAACTATTTTTTTTTATGAATAGGCAAAAAGGAATTTTTAAAGTTGAGAAAATCCACAGGATGAAACTCTGCCATTCAGTTCACTGAAAGGTGATTGAAAGTTTACTGAAAGGTGACTGAACGACAGAACCTCCCCTCCCCGATAGAACCCCCCCCCCCTCCAAATGGGTCTGTATATTGACTAATATTAGCTTTTAAAATTGGCGCCTAAGTAAAATATACCTGGCGACTAAATATTTTTTTATTAAGAGCCAGCTGGTGCCTAAATTTTAGAGGTCACTTAGAGGCCTGTTAATGCATGCTAAGGACATTAAGAAAACAACTACCATAAGTGAAGAAAATTTACTAAATAATTTCAAGTGCCAAAAGCCATATAAAAAAATATCTTTAAATATACTGGCAGATATATTTAACAGTTACTACCTCTCCATATTTCTGAGTCCTGATGTTCCATTTCCTGAGCCTACTCCCGTCATATGAGTATGAATCCTGTGTGTCTCCCACGCCCTCCTCATATGAGAATTTACATTTGATCGTACACCATCCCAGCTGCATCACTCCCTTAGACCACAGCATGACCTCGTACATCCATTTCCCTACAAAAATAATAAATCATGAATCACACATGCACATGTTTGTTTGCATAATGTTCAAAACCAGTTTTTAATCTCTTGATTACTCATAAGCATGCAGGGTTGCAAATAACCACTTGTTCACTTGTTGCTAGTAATTTTGTCTGTGGATGACCAACTTTTGAGGATGTAATGCCCACATAGTGAGTAAGAATTTTAGTGCAACTTTTCCAGAACCTAGCCATGCTTTCATTCTACAATTAAATGCATATTCATTTCACTGTTTCCCACCAACAAAATGTTCTCTAGACCATGAATTGCCTTAATGTAATAACTTTCATAGGTCTGTAAATAAAGGAAAACATTAAGTTTCATGCAATTTCATTCATTCATGGTGTCTCAAACATCAGGGAAATGAAAGACTGTGGACAGCGAAGTAAATTTCTCAGAAATCAAAATACATGTACAAAAAGATTGAGAATTTTTTTTACAAAGTAGAGAGAAAATTGTGGACCCCAAAACATCAATGTGGGCTAGTAAAACTAGTAAACTTGTGGCCCACATGGCCCCTAAGGTTTTAAATGTTATTTGCAACCCTGTCATGCTAATTTCAAACAGAATTCAAAGCTCAGATTATGAGTTCAAAAGTCATAAAGATTAAATACATGTATGTGAATTTTTAAGGATCTAGAAAAATTTTTTTTAACCATCTGGAAAAGAATAAGACAAAATGCTTTTTAAGATTTTTCAGTGCATAAAGGTTAATCCATTTTAAGACTGTCATTGGATGGTAATGTCTACAGTCTTACCTCTATATACACAGCAGTTTGCCCTCACTGTGCTAAAGTTACTGTGACTTGTAACCTGTAAGTAGCATGAATTCAAATTTTTAATAAATGTTAAGGAAAAGTATTAATTTTTACCTGCAAGATCAGATAACTTAGTTTTCAAATAGATTGTTGAGAATGAAATTCCTAACCACCCACAAATGCAAAACTAATGTTGTTATGTTTTCACCAGGGCAAACAATTCGTTTATGAAGATTTAATAGTTTCCGTTTTAATTTTGGAAAAAAAAAATTAAATTTCAAGGCAAGAAACTTTTTGAACGAGTTTTCTTTGATGATTATATACTAGATAATTCTTTTGAAAGAATCTCAAAATCAAGAATATATAAAACTTACAGCAAGTTGATCAGATTCCAAGCGTAGACCCATCATGCCCACAATTGACTTCTGATCAAATACAACTTCTGATGGCCCAATTCTACCATCTATAGGGGTCAGTATATCTAAGGGATATAATACATGTAGGCCTACATACAAATGAAATTATAAAATTTTTTTTTTTTCTGATAAATATCCCTCTTCTAAAGATTTTTATATAGATACAATGTATTTTTATTTGGGAGAAAATTGTTCTTGTTGTAGTTTCTGATTTTTTAATCTAGAAAATAAGGTGCCTAACTTCTTAAATCTAGGGTGCAAAATTAAACTAGATACTTTCAGTTTAAAATTAATATACAAACTTTTCTTCTTTGATGATAAAGAGGATTTTTCCACAACATCAGTTATCATTTCATCCATATTTGTTTGCAAGTTTTCAAGTTCCAGGCTTTTTCTGAAAGTAATTTAAAGATAAAAATTGTACTAAATTTTTTTTTTGCTTAAAGTTACAAAATCAAACATTTCATATTACACAAGGAAAACACAACTGAAAATTTTTAAAGCTATTCCAATTTTCATGGCCCTTTGGTCATGTTGGTATACATGCAAACAAAATAAACAATGTATATTTCATCAGAAAGTTAAGAAACCAAAAAAATATATATATATATATAGGGGAATATAAAATACAAAATTTACCTTGGAGTTCAAAAGTTTTGTGATGAATTGAGTTTCAGATATAAATATTTACAAAATTAATGTCAGTTCAATATTTCAAAAATTAAGATCTTTGAAAATTCACTAAAAAAGATGTAACTTTTGTTATTACATGTATTAACTTATAGGGGAAACAAAATCAGTTTGCTATAACCATAAATTCGCTATATCTGAGCTCATTATATTTGTAAAATTTTACTAAGAATTTCACTGGGGATTGCAAAAAACTTTCCTATATCCGTGTTCGTACTAACTGAGTTTTACTGTATAGAAATAAACATTTTCCTGCAAGCTACCAGGTAGTTAAAATTACCTTGGCTTAGCACTCGCTTCTTCTGATAAAGTCATCTCGGAGAAAACATGCTGAAGCAAGTCATAAGTCTGTGAATCTGAAAAGAATATAAACAATTCTGATACAAGACTAGTAATACATTACACACAATATATTTACCACAATTATTACAAATTACTCATGATCCTCATCAATTTGTCTGGAAAACTGTACATTGGTAGGAAAGGCGGAATACATAAAAAAAATAAATCACTGGACCGGGAATCAAAATAGGAACCCCTGTTTTTAGTCAGGTGCTCTAGCCACTGTGCTACATGTACATGATGTAGTTAGAATAATCTCTATATATATATATATCGTCCCATACACAGCTGATATAGTTGAAACGTAGCAAACTGGAGCAGATCCGCTCCAAAACAATTTTGAAGAACACATTTAAGGAGTTGCACTGAAAATAACTATCAATTTAATCACAGCAGACCTTTTTGAGCTTGTAGATGCTTCTTACTCTAAAAAATAATCCAATGGCATATAAAGATGAAAATTCAACTCATTTTCTCAACATTTTTTTCACTTAGAATTTACATATTGCAATGTTGACATTTGGAACTATCTGGATTATTTGTAGTAAACCTGTAGATTAGAGTTTCTGTTTATTTTGCTACATTGCCAACATGGAATAAATTCTATCGTTAAACCAGGTCCACAGGACAATATCATTTTAATGATAGAATGTTCTATCTATCCACCAAGTACCCAGGCCGATATCGGTATTCCTTTTCTATATAGTCCAAACTACTACATTCCTCCCTGACCTTAAATTCTTCGACCTCAAAAACACACAAGAACACAAATTCACCTTGTCAGGAATTTACATATAACCTGAACAAGGCCTCCCACCACTGGCCATCAAATGTATTAGAAAAAGGAAGACTGAAGAAAGAAAATATATGGTGGGACTGGAAATTGAACCTAGGAGCCTTTATCACTAGTCAGGTGCTCTAACGACTGAGCTACCCAGGTGGATATTCACTGTCCATATAGCCCAAACTACTAAATATTGTTCAAGTTTCAACTTCAACTGAATAACAAACTGTACTTGCAGCGAGAGTTTTGCATTTACGATTTAGGGCAAATTTCCTTGCTGAATCATTTGGGCCTGTCTAACACAGAGAATGTACCATTGCCTTTCTGAATTTCCGGGGACAGTGATATTGTTTGATATATTGTATATCCATTTGCACTTGCCATCAGAGTGATTTTAGTTGAACAGTTATATTGATAAAGATAGCCCTTGCAAACCACAAACCTTCAGTTTTAATAGATGTACTACTTGTCATGGGTGAACTTGCTGTAGATCTTCGTTTTTCAGCCATGTTTTTATGCGTTAATGCCTAACGTTATTTAAATAAATATTAGAAATGTTGCTTTAGCCCCAGTTGAGAAATTTTAACTTAATATTTGATCAACCATGTCGAAAATATGGACTGAAGTCCAATAATTTTTTATGAATGGTCTCATCCGTGTTGCAATGCATTCGCCTCACAAGTTGCAAAGTTTGTTGTGGAAGGTAGCTAACTGCGAACAATCGATATTTCGATTCTGACGGTGATAAAGTCCCGGAAGTAACCAAACAACAAATGCGATGGACTACAGGATATTATTCCGCTGCATAAATAATAAAGTCGATTGTTGTATTGGATTAGTTGATAAAATTTGTTTATTGTAATTGATTCTTTATATAGAATTCAGTAGTATAAATAATCTTGTTGATGAGTCTGTCGAAAGAAATTGGCCATATGCGGCTTGTAATGTGCTCAAATTCATACGCGCATGCGACCATTATCATCCACCGGCAGAAGGACCACACCACCTCAGATTAATCTAAGTTGTTGCCAGCTCACTAAGTAACCATGGATGAAGAATATGATGTGATTGTTCTTGGAACTGGACTAAAGGTGAATTTCAATATTACAAAAGTAGAGACTGTTAGTTACCAGACCTCAGAGCAAACTGAAGTGAATAATTAGTGTGTTATGACATATTTTTTTTTTTAGTAAATTCACGAGACAGATTAGCCACTTTAGAGGAAACGATTTTTGAAGTATAATTCATCACCTGATAAGGAAGTTGTTAAATAAATGTATAGATCTTAACAAAATGTCAAACATTAACACATTAGACAAAAGCAGCTGGGAGCGATGAATCTAACAAAACGCCCCTTTATCTGTTTATGTATTGATTTCTAAGATGTCTAAGTCATGTGTAAATGATACATTTTGATGCAAAACTTGACTTGGACCTTAAAAGAATTCTGTAAAATACCTCATACACAATCAGTTGAATAAAAACAATAATGCACACAATATGAAAAAAATTAATACAATTAAATTGAAATAAAACATTCTGTTCATATAGATTTCATGAAAATTAAATGAGATTTTTGTGAAACTCGTAATTTTGTTAGGTTACAATTATTATAAATCATTAGTTTTTAATAACAATGATTTGTATGCAAATTTAACATTTAAGTCAAGGAAAATATTGCCCAGGCATCAGGCCTTGTATTCTTTAAAAAAAAAATCCTTATGTTAAACATGCTAAAAGCTTCATCATGTTCATTTTACAAAAAGAACTCGTACTAGGAAATTTTTGGAAAATAACCCAGAATGTTTGTATTTGAAGTGCTCAAAGTTTCCTGTTTAGTATTTTGATTCAAATGTTTATAATTACTAATTTTATTGAATCATTTCTATTTAAGATTATATATTGGGAGCAAGCTAGCAATAGAATATAAAACTTGATTAACATACGTATTTACTTCTTTTTCTAACTCCTCATGTAAAAGTTAGGCAGAATTCTAGACTCCTGTTAATGTTTTTGACACATAAACTGAACACTGATCAATAGTTATGGTATTGTGTGTGTTATATTTTTTCTACATGAACATAAGCAGATAAGCAGCAGCCTCTTTTTATCCAATCAACATGATCAATGCACTACAATTGTATTCTGTAGTCTTTTATGCCTGAGTGCACATCCATTCATTATTGTTCAATTCATGTTTGAAATAAAAATCTGAAGAGGAAGATATAGTAATCTACTTCCTAGATATTAAGTTGTTAAGTCTTCTTTTAAACATGTTAAATGTGGTACATTGTGGATAGGTTTCAACTAATCAAGATAGTGGTATCTTGAAAAGAATTTCTTCTCAAATGTTCATCGTAATTCATTGTGATCCTGTATATTATGCTTAAGTAATATTTATCTAAAAAAAGGTAAGGGAAAAAAGGAAGGAGTTGACTGCATGCTAGAGTGTCTCTGTTGTGTTTGTTCCCTTCTTCTATACAAAGTTTGTTTGCTGTAAGTGAGATTAAGCAAATAAGTTCCTGAACATATACAGAGTTTTCCTGTAACAATTAATTCATAGGCAGTGCACAATGTACCTTGCACTTCTAGTATAATCAACAACATTGTCTGATAGACAAGTCGTTGACCTTTTGTTTTAATTTAAGTATTTGATTTATTCACAGGAATGTATCTTGAGTGGTATGATGTCAGTGAGTGGCAAAAAAGTATTGCATATAGACAGGAACAAGTATTACGGAGGAGATATTGCATCTATCACCCCTTTGGAAGATGTAAGTATATAAACTCTTGAAAAGAGAAAGCTTGGCAAGTAAATTTGTGAATTAAATTCAGTTGATCAATTCCAGGTTCATCATTTTCATAACCACAAAATAAGAAATTTCTGTCTTCAAATTTTGGCTGACATTGATAATGAATTAGCAATCAATTGAATTGTAAGCAGAAATTAAAATTTTGAACTTTCTAGTTTTCCTCCTGTAATACTGAAGACAAAATCAAGCATTTGAAATAACTAAATAACATGAATATAAACAAAGCAGGGCTATCAATAATTTTGAAGTAAAGAGGTGAATTTATCCATTTATTTCCAATATAGTTTACTCTGCCAGTAATGAAATTTGAAGCAGAAAATCCGACCATTAAAATGAATCACCCCTTATTGTAAGCCCTGATGAGGAATTTTGTTCTTTTTCTGATGGCTCATGGAAGGCATCAATGCACAATTTATTAATGGTAGTATGGTTGTAATATTTTATGAGACCTGCAGGTTGTCAGTCTTGTTTTAGAGTATACAAGTCAGGATTGACCATCAGGGACTTTTGGGACAAAACTGCCAAAATTTAGGAATGGATGATGTTTGACATTCATATCATAAAAAAAAGATTTTTTGAGTTTAAACCAGGGTCTATATTTTATAATAAAATAGGAAATACTTCAAAAAGAGCAAGGTTCACTTTATATATAAAATAGCCCTGTAGATATACCAATTTTTTGATTAACACTTTATGTCCCTTTTTAAACATCAAGATAAAGTAGAGACTTAGTGTTTTCATTTCCTATGAAAAATTTTCTTCTTAAAGCCAAGGTCTTGGAAAACAGGCTTCATGGAATTGCAATGCTCTTGAATTTTAAAGAAAACAAGTATATTTGAATACTTTCACAGAAGAGAAATAATATGAGCTCACCCTCTGATCTAAAAAATAAAACATGTTTTGTAATCCTCAGAAATAGTTCTATCATTTAATAGTTGCATATTTTAGATCAGAGGTTGCGCTCTATACTAAATATCGAAAAATAGCTTTAAAAATTTACTGTTTTTGTTGAATTTTTCAGGATATGAGGAAAATGACGCATTTCATGACGTCATAATGCATTGACTAGCCAGAAAATTACGTCATTTTTGATAAATACGCAGTCACCAAAGGTCTAAATGATAGTTAATGCATTGTTAACTAAAACCAAGCAGTTTCAGTTTTTCTGAAATTCACAGGGCCAAAAAAGGCCCTAAGTGAACCTTGTTCTTACACCTGGGTGTTGCAATTTTAATGCTTTGAATTTTCAAAATTGAATCTATGTTTATTTTAAAAGCCCTAATGTCATACCATAATCTGTGATGTCCCATGCCATTTCCTCCAGTTTAGTGGAAAAATGAACAAAATTGTGTCCCTTATCATGCAGTATTTGACTCTTAATTTAAAAAAAAAAATTAAAAGAATCCAATATTTTAAGGAAAGTACAGAGGGTAAGAAGTTTTGGTCTTGGAAGAAGTCTGTCTTGCTTCTACTTTGAAATTGTTGGTCTCTTTTTCATTTCCTTTTCATGTTTGTTGTATCTTAGATGTTCCAAATGAATGGAATGAAAATGCCTGAAGACAGGTTTGGAAGGGGCAGAGACTGGAATGTGGACTTGATTCCAAAGTTCCTCATGGCTAATGGTTAGTAATTTACATTTTCTTAAGTTTTGAATTCTTTAAGCCAGTGTTTTAATAAATCTATAACCATGATAACTGTCACAAATTATCACGCTGAACATGCTAAAATTGTAGGAATTGCTTGCAGGGTTAGAAACTCCCTAAAATTACAACTCGCAAATAATTGCGAGTACCAAGAAAGTGAACTCGCAATTTTATAAGACTACTCGCAATTTTCATATAAAGTTAAATTTATATAAATTAAATACATGTAACTTAAGGAAAAAGTAACTACTGTACAATACACAAAATACAGCTACAGTGTAACTTTTATTTAAATTACTGATTTAAATCAAAAGCATTGTGTTCTGTCATATTATATAATTTTGATACAGTTTCAATGCAAAAAAATCAACCCGCAAGTTTTTGCGAGTTACCTAATTTTTAACTCGCAATTTTGGAATTCTAACTCGCGTTTTGCGAGTTGTATATAGTGAATTTCGAACCCTGGCTTGTCATACATTTTAGTGTTAAGGAAAAAATAAGAAGGATTATTAGGCCCTGCAAGGATTAATTAACACCTCTGTCTGCAAATGAAGTTTGTTTTGAAGTTAAGGTCAATTCTGAATGTTTACATTCTCTGAAATGTGGATTTAAATAATGTTCATACTTTATTTTCGGTAAAATACACATTGAGTTTTGATTTTATTGAATTCTAAAACCAAGATATAGATAAAGATATCTTTTTTATTCTTTTATTTTCTTTTTTTTTCTTTTTTTTTCTTTTTTCTTTCTTTTTTCTTTCTTTTTTCTCTGCTTTATGCAAATTCAAGAATACTATTAATTTTAACAAATAGTCAGATAATAACCTCATTCTATTATTGCTGAAAAAGTTCTTATTGTAAACTTAGAAGAAAAGGATGAGAGAGCAGTGCAATTAATCCCCTGGGATTGATTATCTTGCTTTGCAGAAATTTTTAGAGGGTTATCTTTATCTGTCACTTTAAGATTAATTAACACCTTTGTCTGCAACTGATGTTTGTTTTGAAGTTAAGGTCAAGCCTGGGTGATAATTGCATTCACTGAAGGCTGGCATTTTAGAAAACACACGCTTCTTTCTTCTTTAAATATACATTTAATTGAGTTATTATAGATATGATGTTTTTTACTGCCTTATGTAAATTTTATACAAGAATACTATTACATGTTGTTTGATATTTAAGAATTATCTTGAAATTTTATAAATACAGTTTCTGTTGCTTATTCTTCTTCATATAATTTTAAATTTTTGTAATCAAGTTATTTTAAATTTGTTATTTAAAAAAAAAGAACACAAACAAACATGCAAACATGACAGTTTTTTCTCCATTTTTTTTCTCCATTGGAATTCATAGAACATGTAGAAAGTATGAGGTTTATTTCCCTGAAATGTAATAGAGGGGAAAATGGGTGAAAATTTTTATTGTAGGTTTTATTCAAGAAAACTACACTACTGGTATTAACTTATATGGGATCTACATCTTTTATTTCAGGTCAGCTGGTGAAGTTGCTGATTTACACTGGTGTAACTCGTTACCTAGAATTCAAGTGTTTGGAGGGCAGTTACGTCTGCAAAGGAGGCAAAGTGTATAAAATGCCAGCTGATGAGAAGGAGGCTCTCACAACAAGTAAGTGTTTGCATGAAATGGACAATTCCGATGGCTGAACACTAGTTATCTTATTCTATTAGTCTAGTGTAGAATAGGTCATTAGAAGCCCAGATTGGTAAAGGGTCACATGTGGCAGGTTGTCCTTTAATAAAGATAGGTAACCAGAGGCAAATGTTAGATGTCAATGGAAAGAAGTATATATTATTTTAAATTTCTTCTAAATGTAGAATTTAATTGGATCAGGATTTTGTAATAAATCTGCCATTATTAAAAGAAAAATGATTTCATCTAAGACATCTACTTTTCATCTAGAGTACTGCCTGAATTTAGGGATATACTGGTGTAGTGTGATACACAAAAAATTGTGCCTTATCACAGTACAAAAGCTGTAAAACTGTGTATCACGGTATATAATATTTTATGCAAATTATATTATTTCTTTTAAATTTTACTCAGTAAAAGTGACTTTCTTTATTCACTTAGGCTGTTTTTCTTGTGTTCAGAGCTTATTAAATGTTACAATAACATAATGTACATGTATTTGTGAACTTGATGAAGTTTATCCTTTCACATTGTAAAAGAGAGTTTCTCATTTAAGAACAGAAAAAGCAAATTATATATAAAAAATATGAAAGGTGAAATATCGTGATACTTATCTTGATACAGTCCCAGTGTATCATGATACATCACGATACACTTTAGCCATATCAGTACACTCTAATGCACGATATATATTTATTACAAAGGATAAGGCATCGTCATTAAATTCAAGTTTTGTGATATTAAGGGAAAAAAATAATTGGGCCAGTATTTATGTAAGGAAGTTTGTTGTTTGATACAAGTTCTTTGCATATAACTAAGAGACAATGACTTGGACACCATCATACATTTCAGATTTGATGGGCATTTTTGAAAAGAGGCGCTTCAGAAAACTGATGATCTTCATCATGGAATTTAATCTGGAAGACCCTAAAACATGGCATGGACTCGACCCCAAACAAAGCACAGCTGAGGACCTCTACAATAAGTTTGGTGTGGACAAAAACACTATTGATGTAACAGGACATGCCCTGGCTCTTCACCGTAATGATGCGTAAGTGATTTCTTCATGCAGGGCTTAATAATTCTTGCATCCAGGTCCAGTAAAAGGACCCTGTCCCAAATAAAAATTTCCTTTTTTCCCCCCAAAATTAAGGTAAAAATTCCCAAGTGATGAGCAGATTGAATTTTTCAGTATTTATTTAAATTTATAAAGTTTAAATTTTGAGATTTTAATGAATCATAAAAATGTGAATAGGGAATAAGTCTTCAATCTAATTCTTAATTCAGCAGTAAAATTTGATGTAAGACACCAATATTTCAAGTTTTGTAACTTTTTTTGTGAAAAATTCCCAAATAAAAGGGTACAGAACCTTGTACCAAGAAAGGTCAGTTGGTGTTTTTTTTTCTGCATTTAATGTGTCTTGTTTTCGGCCAGTTATTGTTAAATGCTCTATTCACTCTGTATTTATAAATATTTTTGTTTTCAGTTATCTTAAAGAACCCTGTTTAGATTTTATACAGAGAGTAAAGTTGTATCAGGACTCTATACAGAGGTATGGGAAGTCTCCTTTCCTGTACCCACTGTATGGACTAGGAGAGCTCCCCCAGGGGTTTGCCAGGTAGAACACTTTTCCAATGCTAAATTTAGAAATGTGCTAGGAGTATAAAGCTTCAGTTGCAATTTTCATGAAGTATATATATAAGAAATAAGGTATCACTTTTAAACATGTATCAGGATATAGTTACAGGTTGGTCACATGATCCATTTCCATTAAGGCAGAAGGGCTTAATTATATTAATAAATTTGATCACATACCAACCTGTATCTTTATCCCAATAGATGTTTAAATGTGATACCCTATTACATTTACATTTCTGGCAGTATTATAATATGTATTTGAGTACATATTAAATAAAATGTTTAACACATAAAATGTTTCATTTTTCAAAACTCAATGGCACAAGTTTAAAAAAAAAAAAACAAACAAACAAAAAACAGTGAAAATAGTGAAAAAAAAGGATTCCATTTATAAATCACAGTGTAGTGATCACTAGTACATGCATATGGTAGTCTTACATATGTGCCTGTAATGTATGTTAATGAACATGTTGAAAAAGGCTTTAAAACTTTATTGCTTCTCATTCAATCAAATAAATCTATTCCAAAATACATGAATAACTTTATTTTTCTCAAGGTTAAGTGCAATATATGGAGGAACCTACATGCTGGATCGCCCTGATGCCACGGTGGTTTACGAGGACGGTAAAGCTGTCGGTGTGATGGCCGCCGGCGAGACTGCCAAGTGCAAAAAGGTCATTTGTGATCCATCTTATGCAAAAGACAAATGTAAACATGCGGGTCAGGTATGAATCATTGTTTATTAACATTTTTTAAAAATCATCTTTAAATTTAAAGAATGCATGAAAAAATTATTTTCTGTTTAGTAAAGATAACAAGAGAGGTAGTTTTGTATGATATATTTTCAATGGATAGTTTGTTTAGTAAGCATGGTAAGGTTTATTTAATATCATACCAAAACAGAAAATAGTTGGTGGTTATGTAGATATTTAGATAGCATTTTATATTTTAAAAAAAGTGACATTTCTGAAGAAGTTGGTTTTAATGTGGGATTGTACCATTTATTTCAAATTTTAGAAATCAAAAACTTGGAATCATTTTTAATGACGATGTTTTTCTCATTCTTTTAATGCCATGAGACAGAAAATTGTAATGTAAACAAAGTTAACCTTGCTTATTACAGGTAGTGAGAGCAATATGTATACTGAATCACCCTGTACCCAATACAAATGACATGAAATCCGCTCAGATCATTATCCCTCAGCACCAGGTCAACAGACATTGGGGTAGGTCAATTAATCTGAGTACCTCTGTCATCTCTGAACAGTTACATTCATCATTGGAGTGTCTATCTGAAAAAAAATGTGGTTCAGAGCTGTCAAAGCACGGAAGATATGAATTGAACTATTTTTTCTTTGGAATCAGCACATGTGCTGCAATATTCTTTCACTTTTGTATGAAAAATAAATGCCATCTTGAAGGTTAATTTTATGTCTTTTATATATACAGTGTATATAGCATGATCAAAATGTGTGCTTCTTACTTTTACAATGTACTTTGTATTGGATTTCAGAGTTGATTTGATTTTATGATAATTTGACAGTGTTTTGTTCAAGTAGTTCTTGTTAGGCGATTAACTTCAAATCTGTTTTCTGGCACAGTTAATTGCAATAATTAAAAATTTGAGGATTTGAGATTTATCTTTAAATTTCAGACATCTACATTGGTGTGATATCACATGAACACATGGTGGCTGCCAAAGGTTTCTGGATAGCCAGTGTCAGCACTACTGTGGAAACGGAAAACCCAGAGGCGGAGCTCCAGCCAGGACTAGATTTGCTGGGACCAATTGAACAAAAGTAGGTGTTATCTTAAGATAATGGGAGGAGCTTAGATCAGTTATGTTGTCAGCTTGATTTAAATTTCTGTAAGGTATTTTTAGGTCACCTGAGTCACTCAGGTGACCTATTGCTATCTGTTTTCGTCCGTCGTCGTGCGGGTGTGCGTCGTGCGTAAACTTTTCACATTTTCGACTTCTTCTCACGAACCACTGGGCCAATTTCCCCCAAACTTGCCACAAACTATCCTTGGGTGAAGATGATTCAAGTTTGTTCAAATGAAGGGCCATGCCTTCTTCCAAGGGGAGATAATTAAGAATTAGTGAAAAATTAATGGTATCTTTTAAAAATCTTCTTCTCAAGAACCACTGGACCAGGTAAGATGAAACTTATATGGAAACATCCTTAGGTAGTGTTGATTCAAGTTTGTTCAAATCATGACCCCTGGGGGTAGGGTGGGGCCAAAGTGAATGATCAAAGTTTTACATAGAAATATATTAGGAAAAATCTTTAAAAATCTTCTTCTCAAGAACAGCAAAGCCATGATTGGTCATATTTATATGGAAGCATCCTGATGTAGTGTAGATTCAAGTTTGTTCAAATCATGACCCCAGGGGGTAGGGCGGGGCCACAATGGACAATCAAAGTTTTGAATAGAAATATTTAGGAAAAATCTAAAAAAGTCTTCTTCTCAAGAACAGCAAAGCCGTGATGAGTCATATTTATATGGAAGCATTCTCAGGTAGTGTAGATTCAAATTTGTTCAAATCCTGACCCCGGGGGGTAGGGTGGGGCCACAATGGAGGATCAAAGTTTACATAGAAATATATAGGAAAAATCTTTAAAAATCTTCTTCTCAAGAACAGCAAAGCCATGATGAGTCATATTTATATGGAAGCATCTTCAGGTAGTGTAGATTCAAATTTGTTCAAATCCTGACCCCCTGAGGTAGGGTGGGGCCACAATGGATGATCAAAGTTTTACATAGAAATATATAGAAAAAATCTTTAAAAATCTTCTTCTCAAGAACAGCAAAGCCATGATGAGTCATATTTATATGGAAGCATCATCAGGTAGTGTAGATTCATGTTTGTTCAAAACCTGACCCCAGGGGGGAGGGTGGGGCCACAATGGAGGATCAAAGTTTACATAGAAATATATAGGAAAAATCTTTAAAAATCTTCTTCTCAAGAACAGCAAAGCCATGATGAGTCATATTTATATGGAAGCATCTTCAGGTAGTGTAGATTCAAATTTGTTCAAATCCTGACCCCCTGAGGTAGGGTGGGGCCACAATGGATGATCAAAGTTTTACATAGATATATATAGGAGAAATCTTTAAAAATCTTCTTCTCAAGAACAGCAAAGCCATGATGGGTGATATTTATATGGAAGCATCCTCAGGTAGTTTAGATTCAAGTTTGTTCAAATCCTGACCCCCTGGGGTAGGGTGGGGCCCAAATGGGATATCAAAGTCTTACATAGGAATAATAGGAAAATTTCTTCTCAAGAACTGCAAAGCCATGATTAGTCATTTTGATATGATCAAATTTTTACATAGAAATATATAGAAAAAAATCTTTAAAAATCTTCTTCTCCAGAACCACTGGGCCAAGAAAGATGAAACTTATCTGGAAATATCCTCAGGTAGTGTAGATTCAACTTTGTTAAAACCATGATCCCAAGGGGAAGGGTTGGCCACAATGGACAATGAAAGTTTTACATTGAAATATGGAGGAAAATCTTGAAAAAAATCTTTTCTCAAGAACAGCAAAGCCATGATTGGTTAAATTTACATGGAAACATCCTCAGGTAGTATAGATTCAAGTTTGATCAAATCATGACTTTGGACTCTGGGGATAGGGTGGGGCCACAATGGGCGATCAAAGATTTATGAAAGCTTCTTTTATCAGTTTATTTTATACTCTATGGATCTTCTTTGGATTGTTGTTTTATACTCTGGTGACCGTTAAGGCCCTTGGGCCTCTTGTTAGCTTTAGATGCACAATAATACACTGGGGGCCTTAAGGTGACCATTAGTTTTGCTGTCTTGTTTTTCAGCATATTAGTCTATCTATACTGATAGATTACTGAGCTTAAAAAAGACTAATAACTGAAATGTCTAAGATTTACATTGAGCTACAATGAAAAAAAAGTTTGTTTGCCCATACTAGACCAACTGAAAAACATTGATCTCTCAAAAAGGTTTTTTTCCTGTTTCCAAAAAAAAAAAGACTTAAAAAAAAAAGAAACTATATAAAATCTAATTTCAAAAAAGAGATAAATGATGGATTATAGATTGCTGTACATATTGACTGATTACATTTCAACATAGTATTTTTCTTGGGAAAATAATAAATTGTTTTAATTGGGGGGAAAAAACCTACCCTCAGTTAAAATCAAGGGTCAGAAGAGGCATATCAAAATATCATTATACATGTAGATAGCTTTGACTTAATAGGGTACATACTTTTGTTTTCCAGATTTGTGTCTGTTCATGATATAATGGAACCTGTAGATGATGGAAAGGACTCCGAGGTAATAATTCTGTTCATAGCAGATCTACATAGTTCTGTTGAGAGTTATAATATTGTAATACATTCTTTCACAATAACAACAATTAAAATCATGCTACGTGTACTCATCTGAAATTTGATAGCTAGAACAGTGCAAGTTCATAAATACATCTGACTCTCAGAAGAATTGCAAGTAACATCTACCCTTTGTAATTGACTTTCTTTTTGAGAGGCATTTAAACATGGGCCATTTTACACTTTCCCTATTGCATATGAATTTTAAAGACTTGATGTAAAGGGCAGAGCTCACCTAGGGTAATATTTAGCTCCATAAAATTACAGGGGAAAAAACTATTCTATTTTAGTTAACATCATGCTAAATATTTATCAAATGGACTAAGGATGACTAAGTATCTATTCATTTAAAAAAAAAATTCACTATATATAAGTCTGTGTATGATGATGTCACAAATTGGATTATTATTCCCAGTTCAAGAAAACATCTTCTAAAATGACCAATATAAATATCTTCAATAGAGCACAACCTCTGATCCATAAATTATAGATTTAATATTAAGTAATAATCAATGGAAATGTTGCAAAAAGTTATTATTCATAGGGTAAAATCACTAATTTGCATATGAGTTTAATTTTCATTGTTTTGTGCTATGAAAGGACTCATGTTAAATTTCATATTCATGACGACACTTTTTCAACCATGAAATCAAATCTCCATGAACCAAAATTTTTTCCTCAAAACAACAAAAATGTGACCCCCATGAAAATGTTTTTTTCATTATTTGATTTCTTGGGTGGACTGCTGTTCTTATATTAAGAATCTTTGTTGCTTGCACTCGAATACAATTTTTCTGCCAAATTCAAGAACGTTTGTACATTTACATAATCCTTTCCGTAAGTGAATCTCTTAGAGGGAACTTTATTTTAAATAAAATGAAAGGATGATGTCTCTACTTTATCTTACTTTTTGAAAGGAAAGGTTATTAAATGACAGATGAGGCTATTTTATGAATTAAGTAAACCCTCTCCATTTACATGTATGCCCTCAAACTGATGCATTCCACCCTTTGTTCATCTCCAGAAAAAAACCCACCATTCTTAAACTAGCACTGATTGCATGTGTAGTTAAAAGGGGATAAATAAGTGAACTGACCATGTAACATTTCCTGTTGCTGAATATTATTATTATTTTTTTTTTTTATAGATTTTCATCACAAAATCCTATGATGCAACATCTCATTTTGAAACAACTTGTAAGGATGTATTGGAAACATACAAGAGAGCTACCGGGGAAGATTTTGATTTCTCCAAGATCAAGATTCCGGAGGAAGAAGAGAATAATTAGTGCTTTTATTAATTTGGCACTGTGCCAAACTGGTATATGTGTTCGTTTTGAATGGACATGTGGCAGTGTACTTTTTTTTCCTCGTCTTCTTTGGTACAATATTATGGACAAAGGCATTGATATTTGCATACACTAAAATGTAACAAACACCCCGCATTACCATTCCATGTTTATGAGAAGAAAGACCATTTTATTTATTGGCTTGTATCAGAGGTCACAAAATGTCCAATCTTAAAAACTTCATAAATATTGAAGAGAAGGAATTGGGTGTCCTTTGCATTTGTGCAATTGATTGATAGCTAAATGCTTTCTCGTCGACACTAATAAGTCGCTTGCTTAATTAAGTGAATTATTTTTATTAATGGCTATAAAACTGAAGGAAAAGGGAGGTGTTTTAAGTAGAATGCATACTTTTACTTTCCAATGCTTTTAAAATAAATAGTCAAGTTTTCATGTCCAAGAAAAGTGTATGTTTACCCTGTTTGGTGAGAGTTGTGATGTGTAAATATTGTAGGCTCCATCATATATTTAATAAAAATATGTAAAATCCAGGAGTATGCCATTTTCACACACATGCATGTTCAATGCATAAAGACATTTTTTCATAATATATCTTGTAAATGCTATTAATGTGTAATAGGAAGAAAAATGTGCATCTTTTTCACTCATGAGAACTAGAAATTTAATGCTGTTTCTATTCTTTGACTTGCTCAAGTCTTGCTAATGCTTTCTGTACTTCAGAGAGATTAATAAGTCTGTGCTTAATGCAAAAAATAAGAAAGTTGTTAGAAAATCATGTTTTTGGAGTATTAAAAAATGGTATCAGAATTCTGTCTTATGAAATGAAATCATGTGTATGAGCTATGAGATTTATTCAGTGTAATTAATACATGTATGTGATATTTATTTATGGCTTACAAATCTGTGACATTTCCTCATTTCATTGATTGTGAAACTTCTTTTGAAGCATTACTTGCAGTTAATAGTAAAGAAAAAATATATATATGTAGGTTTACAAAAAAAAAGATTTTGTTATAGATAAAGTATACAATGGTAAAGTAACCTAGTCATTATCATGAATATGTCACAGGTGTATTAAGACATTTACGTTTTCTGAGACACGATTATCAAATATGAATAAATCTATAACCATTTCCAATGGTTTTCTTATTCTGTCATAATGTTTTATGATTACCCTTAGTACTAAGTACATGTATGTTGAGAAATTTTGATGCACTGTGACTGAAAAAATTCAGATGGGAAGCCATTAAAATCTGGCTCTACCAACAGTTATCAGGCTGTAGACTGTACCACATTCAAATGTGACCATTTGCTACGAAAGAACAAAATTGATAAAGAATATAAATCATGGTCTAAAATTTTGATCATGTTTATCATATACTAAGTATAATTGAATTTCATATTTATCCTTTGTGTAAGAAAACAGTCTTCAAAAAGAAAATAAGGTCTTTATTACTTCAGAAAGTGTGAATTTTATTTAACACATGGAAAACTTTGACAACTGAAGAGAAATGTATGTAACATCCCCAGGGGTATAGTATACAGATAGTATGAAAGTTATAATTTGTGATTAAGAGACCAATATGCCACAACACTCACCTATATCATTTCCTCCATCCTACAGCCCGGCCTTAGGAGACTTGTATCTACATGAAATATCGATGCTTCTTCAATAGTTTCACTATATGTAGCTTTGTTCTTTCGGAGAACATTTACAATGAATTTTAACACACTTTAGCCAGAGTCTTACATGGGCTTTTCTGGTCAAAGTATACCAATAACAGTTGTCTGTCAACTGTTTTCATTGTACCACTTAGCGAATTTTAACCAAACTTGGCACATAGTATATATTGGTGAGCGGAATTACTAGTAAAGTTATTATTTTCAAACGAAGGGTCTTGCCCTCTTACAATAGGAGATAATCAAGAGAAGGCAAAAATAGGGTGGGTCATATATAAGAATCGTTTCAAGAACCACTGGGCCAGAAATGATAATTTTTTTTTTGTGAAAGCTTTCTTATAAATTGAAGATTCAAAATTTGTTCAAATGGCCCCAAGGGGATTTCAGTTTTAGATGGGAATATATACTATAGGGAAAAAATCTTTTGAAAGCAAGAACAGCAAGGCCATGATTAGTCATATTAATATGAAAATACCCTCGTAGTGTTATGGGTTATGGTTTTATATTTTAGTCTTTGACCATAACAATATAAAATCATAACGCTACAGTTCTGCATCTAATACCCTCGGATAGTGAAGATTCAAGATTGTCTAATTTTTGCTCTCTCTCTCTCCCCCCCCCCCCCCCCCGTGGTAGGGTTGGATATCAGAGCTTTACTTATAGAGGGAAAAAAAAAAAGTTTATGAACAAGGATGTCTGTTCTTCAGCCAGAAATAGCAACTCTTAGAATAATAATTTATTGCAGTGATTAAGTTTCAGAATGAAGCTTGAAAATGCTACGTAATATTAAGTTATTAAAAGTTATATTAAGTTACTTTGAGGTACTTTGAATTTTCATAGGAAAGGTCTTGTAGGCAAACCAAGTACATAGTTGTAATTAGCAAGGGTAATTTTACCAGATATGTGAAATTTATGACTACTGAGTCCGGGGGTGCTAGGGCAGGGATCTATTGATCATGTAGGGTAAATTTACTCTATTTTGAGAGAAGTTATTCCCCTTTGATTATTCATCTCTGTATGTTGAATAAAAGAATTTTTAATGCATAATACAAAAAAGTACATACACAGTTTTTAATGGTCAGATAGATTTGTCGAAAGTTGACAGTTGCACCTTATAAAGGAAAAAATATTGATATTTTATAATTAAGAGAAGTTGAATTTCCATTAAAGTGACCTTACATTATTAAGAAGCAAGTTTTGTATCTGATACATGCATGAAATGATAGCTCGTTTTATTTACACATAATACATGTATTGTATAGAAACTGAGGTTACCAAACTCCAATATACCATATATATATATATATATATATATATATATATATATATATATATATATATATATATATATATATATATATATATATATATATATATATATATATATATATATATATATATATACACCATGTACATGCACTACAACTGAACCACAGATTGTTCAAAATATATTCATACATTTATTCTTCTGGGGAATAGACAAAATAAGTAGGGAGCAAAAGACTGTATTCAGTCGAGGTAGCGCCATCTTTTACTAATAAGTGTAGATACATGTAATTACAAAAAGTACTCATTTGTGCATTTTTGTTCTGTATCTTCAGAACACTCGTAATACAACGTAACATGAAGCATTGGAATTGTGTTGCATAGGGGAGAATTCAAAAATAATGACCGGCAAATTGAAATTTTGTGAAAAAATTTAACTTACCATAACATGCAATGTCTTTTTCAATTGTTACATCGTACTGTGCATACATTCTAATAAAAATTTCTGAAGTGACAATAGACATGATAGAATAGACAAATGCATAAAAAAGTTTCAGAATTATTATTAGCAGAACTTTATTTGAAAAAAATGAAAATATTACTACATCCTAAAAGACTTTGTAAAATACACAATCAGAAGAAAATATAGTTTTTAATCCTTCAAATTTGTGTCAAGGATATATTTATATATATAAATGATTAAATCTAAACCTTGATTGAGTTTCTTTTCTTGACGTGTATGTGAAAGAAATTGCCTTTCTGATTGTTATTTTACATTAATTGTTTCAACTCTGGTTTTAAAAGTTTTAATATGAAAGAAATATGATACAATAAATTCCCCCAAAATTATTTTTTTGTCCATTTAAGTTAATTTTTTTTTTAAATCTAAGCCAAAAAAGATTTTTTTTTTATGATACACAAGTTTTCCTAAGAAAAAAAGTACTAGATTTTGAAGTGATTCTAGTTTACATACTGTATTTTGTTGCACTCCTGACATCTGATATGTTTTTTTTTATTGAACATTGTTTTAAAAATTATAACACATAATAACTCATTCAAAGCTGTAAAGCAGTTCGTGGTTTTGATATTTTTTTTTTTTTATCATTTACGGCAAGTTTTTCATATTTTCTTGACTTCAAAATATTATTTTTTGCTTATGTACATGTAATATGTATGTAATTTATATGTTTAACGACGAAAACTATTCTGTGAATTGACTGTTAAATGTTAAAAAACATCTGTACTATGTTGAAAGACATAATGATTTCAACTACAAATTGTATAAAACATTTTCTGCAATTTATTTTTTTTTTAAAGATAAATAAAGTTAATTGATAATTATAAGACTGTTTTTGTTGCACTCCTGACCACAGTAAAAGCATGGAACACAGATATTCATAAACTGTTGGCAAAATCAAGTAGTAACGACATTGTGCAATATTTATAGTTCATGATTAAGGAAGATCTAAACACTAACAGAAAGTGCGTTTTAGACTTGGAGAAAAATATATCATATAAAGATGTGCATATTGAGACTATTTACTTCATTTTCAACATAGGGTACCTGCCTTATTTCAGCAGGAAAAATGTTCAAAGACAATGCATGGACAACTCGTGAACAGAAATTGCTGTTTACCTAAATTGGGAATATTAATGGAAATAATAATTCAATTACTTATCCTTGGTCTAATATAATGTTAAGAATATTTTAATTTATTAGAAACTGTGTAATTAACTGTAAATAACAATTTTTTCCATCTTACTTCTAAGGGCAGATCACTCTAACTGCATAAAACTACCCTACAAATAGAACTCTTTTGTATACAGCGTTTAGAGCTTCCTTAAAACACATAAAATTATTTAAGCTTGGCTCTGTATCTTGAATTATTCTCTATCGATGTCACAAAACTAGCTAAAATATATTTAGAAGATCGAATATATTTTATAGTATATTTTCCTTCAAGAGACAAATTTACACTATAAGCAATTGATGTCAACCAGAAACATTCTACTCATCAATTTTTTCTTTATATTTATCTATATTTGATCATCAATAATTTCAACATTTTTTGTTGCACTCCTGACCAGGAGCATGTGAGTCTTTAGAGTAGAGTATTGTGAAGTAAATTACACCAGAGCATGTTCCGTTGTTTCAGTCAAGTTGTGATGGAATTACATTGTACATGTACTTGAATTTTATAAAAATTTTCCAGGATTTTTTTTTATTTCATAAAAAATTAAAGAGAAGATAAAACACATTTTGATTGACAAAAATTGAAAGAGAGACGGATTTAAATAATAAAACTGTCAATAATTTAGTAATACATTATTCAAATTGGTCATTAATATTAAAGAATACTTATTAGTATTAACAGTTTTTTCATCATTGAACTTGGATCTTTAAAAAGAAGAAAAAAGATGTGTTGCACTACTGACCGAAGACATTGTAGAAATATGGATCTGAATCACTGACATATTCTGTAAATGATAAATCTATTTGGTATTATTCTTTATGTCTTTATTTTCCAAAATAGAAAGCAAAGAATCATACACTGATAAAAGTTTTTCCATGTTAGGGAGCAAAAAATCAAATATTGCACTCCTGACATAATTGGGTATACACAGATACTTGCCACTCGTAAATGCATGCTGCGTGTGATTCATATAACATTTTAAACTTTTAAATGGTATGTCAGTTATTGTTTTACACTTTGAAAAATCATTTTTTTTTTTACTTAATGTAATACAGATTTTTAAAATCAATGTTTTTTGACAACACTACAATTTTTTTCTGTTGCACTCCTGATACGGAATAACATTTTTTTTCAGCATCAGCATCAGTCATAACCATAACTTAGTCAAACAAAAGTTACCACAGTCTAAATTTAAACCTCAATACATTGAATATTATCAGGAAAGTCTTTATTTCCAACGTAAAGCATTATTATTTATTTCACTGATCCTCAAAAATACTAAATTTTCAAAATGTCACAAAAGTGTTGCACTCTTGACATTTTTAGCATCAAGTTACAAGAAAACTAAGAAATCAAGGGCCTGTTTTACAAAAGAGCTAACGACCAAGACTAAAAACTTAAATTGATTGTAAAATCTTACAAACTTTGTTTCCGTTAAAAATTGTTTGCATAAAAATATTTTTCTTAATTCTTTTCAAAAAGATTAAAACCAT